TAAAGAAATACAAAAAATTTAGCTGGCGAGTGGGTGGGACTGCCTGTAGTTCCAGCTACTCAGGAGGACTGAGGCAGAGAATGGCGTAACCCAGGGAGGCAGAGCTTGCAGTGAGCCGAGATCACGGCCACTACACTCCAACCTGGGCAACAGACGAGAGACTCTGTCTCAAAAAAAAAAAAAAAAAAAAGATTAGAGATGGAGTTTCACCATGTTGCCCAGGCTGGTCTCAAACTCCTGACCTCCAGGTGATCCACCCGCCTTGGCTCCCAAAGTGCTGGATTCACAGGCATGAGTCACTGGCTGCTCGACTTATTTCACTTAGCATATTTTCACCACACTTCACTTCAAGTTTGTCACAAATCAAACAGTTTCCTGCTTTTTAAAGACTGATATATATTTCATTGTGTAGAAGCAATAATATTCCATTTATTTATCCATTCATTTATTGATGGACACTGGTTGATTCCATAATATTAACTATTGTCGAATAGTGCTGCAATGCACAGAGGATGGCAGACATCTCATCAACATACTGATGAAGAGATATACTGATGAGTTCAAGCTTTTGGTAAATACCCTAGCAATGGGGTTGCTAGATCATATGGTAACGCTATTTTTGTTTTGCTGAGGACCCTTTAGTTCCCAAAGGCTGTACTAATTTACATTCTCACCAACGTGCTCAACATTCTCCCTTTTTCTCGCAACATACCTCACCCAACATATTGTTATGCTCCGTGCTTTTTGATAATGTCTTCTGACAGGTGTGAGGTGATATCTCATTGAATTTGATTTGCTTTTCCTGAAATGATTTCACTGTTGAAATGTTTTCAGATTAACTGTTCAACACTTGTTTGTCGTCTTCTTTTGAGAAAATGTCTATTTGTCCTTCTTGCCCATTTTTAAATCACGTCATGTTTTCTTGCTACTGAGTTATTTGAGTTCTTAAAATATCTTTGGATAGTGACCTTACCAATGTGTGGCTTGCAATACATGTCTCCCCATTCCATAAGGTTTCCTCTTTACTCTGCTGATGTATTTCCTTTGCTAACAACAACAATGTTCTAGCCCTGAAATAATATGTTTAGGTATATTTAGGCTATAAATTGAGATTTTTAGATACACATTGGTGGGTAGATCTAAGAATTATTGAGAAGGGAGAATCATTAGGACCACTGGGGACAAGTAAGAGAAAGGAGTCATTGATAGATATAGATTATAGGCTTCATGTTTGCTGAGTAATGTGTGCTTAATGTGGCTGGGCATGGAGGTTCACAACTATAATCTCAGCACTTTGAAAGGTTAAGATGGGAGAATTGCTTGATCCCAGGAGTTTGAGACCAGTCTGGGCAACATAGCAAGACCTCATCTCTACAAAAAATAAACATTAGCCAGGCATGGTGGTGCATACCTGTAGTCCCAGCTACTTAGGAGGCTGAGGTGGGAGGATCACTTGAGCCCAGGAGGTAGAGGCTGCAGTAAGCCATGTTTGCACCACTGCATTCCAGCCTGGGTGACAGAGCAAGTCTCTGTCTCAAAACAAAACAAAACAAAACAAAAAAACATGAATGAGGAAGTTAGAAAGGAATATTGGATTGCAGATATAAGGCTCTTCATCTAGAAAGGGAAGATGATCTGGGGAGAAGAGATGTAGGATTTAGAAAGGGAAAGATAGAAATTGTGTATTAGTTGGATGAATGGATGAAAGGATGGATGAATTAATATATGAACAAATTATTTCAGATTATATTTATTGAGTGCTAGGTACTATGAATTTATTGCCCAAAGGTAGCAGATCCAGGAGGGTAGCTATAAACATTTCTATAGAAATTTATATGAAATTTCTATAAAAGAGAAGTTTTGGGGTAGCAACCAAGTTGTAAGGCTGTGTGAAGAGGGGTCTGGGTGGGGAAGGGTATTTGTTTTCATTCTGTAATCCCTTAGCACTCTAGATCAGATGGAGAAAATGTCAAATACCAGGGAGGGGCACTTATGAGATGAGATTACAGATGGAACTAATCCCCCTCAGGCTACCTGTCAACTCTGTCACTGCCACTGCACTCAAACACCTATAACCAAACAACAATAAATTAATGAGATACTCATTTTATCAGATCAATAGCATGATAGCAGGGAGGCAGGAGCATTTAATTCTCCATGAAGAGAATGTGTGTGGTTGGATAGTAGATGAGGGAAAGATTTCACAAAAAGGTGTGATTTTAGTCGACCCTTTTTTTTTTTTTTTTTTTAAAGACAGAGTCTCACTCTGTTGCCCAGGCTGGAATGCAGTGGCACAATCTTGGCTTGAATCTGCCTTCCAGGTTCAAGCGATTCTCCTGCCTCAGCCTCCTGAGTAGCTGGGATTACAGGCGTGCACCACCACGCCCGGCTGATTTTTGTATTTTTAGTAGAGAAGGGGTTTCACCATATCAGCCAGGCTGATCTTGAACTGACCTCAGGTGATCCACTTGCCTCAGCCTTGCAAAGTGTTGGGATTATAGGCGTGAACCACCTGACTCTTATTTATTACTCTTGAAGAAGGTAATTAATATTCTAAATACATGCTGTAAATAAAAGTCTTCAAAGACACAGAGAAGCTGGAGATCTTAGCAAACTGTTCAGAATCTGATGAAGTGGGAGTAATCTGGAGATGAAGAACAAGCAGTGGCCCAATCATGGTAGGCTTCCATGTTATGTCAAAAGTTTTGAAATCCATCCTGTTGCTGATGGGAATGGCCAGAGTATTTTAGGCACAGGAATGACAACGATAAAATCTTACATAACATTTTTGAGCTACTTATAAGGCTGAGGCAGGAGGATCATCTGAACCCAAGAAATTCAGGGCTGCAGTAAATCATGATCACACCACCAATTGCACTCCAGCCCAGGTAACAGAGCAAGGCCTTGTCTTTAAAAATAATAAAATTTAAAACATAACATTTTTGGAAGATCAAAGAACTATACATATGAAAGAAATACAAGCAACATGACCCCCCCCCCCAGTCCTTTAATTATAAATGGGAAATTATGGGGGGGAAAAAAAAAAGCAAAATCCCTGTTCTCACAGAATTTATATTCTAATGGGTAGGGGCAGACAATAAAAAAACCACATACAGCCCGGAACGGTGGCTCAAGTCTGTAATCCCAGCACTTTGGGAGGCCGAGGCGTGCGGATCACGAGGTCAGGAGTTCGAGACCAGCACGGCCAAGATGGTGAAACCCTGTCTCTACTAAAAATACAAAAATTAGCTGGGTGTGGTGGCGGGCGTCTGTAATCCCAGCTGCACCGGAGGCTGAGGCAGAGACTCCCTTGAACCCTGGAGGCAGAGGTTGCAGTGAGCCTAGATCGCCCACTGCACTCCAGCATGGGCGAAAGAAGGAGGCTCCGTCTCAAAAAAAAAAAAAAAAAAAGAAAAGTAAAAAAAAAAAGAAAAAGAAAAGAGGAGCAGCATATTAACAGTAAGGATAAATGACTGTCATTGTGTTTACCGACGTGTCTCTAGGGAAGAAGCCCGGGCCAAATCCCACCCTTCAACCCCCCAGGGGCCTAAGAGAAGAATGCACATCCTCGGGAGCTACCTAAATCTACTGAATTACAATGCATAAAGGCGGGGCCCAGGAAGCTGCAGTTTAATAACGAATATCCCCAGGCCATTGTTATGTACGCTTAAGACTTGAGCACCATTGGCCTCTCCAACCTTTTCTCACTTCACCTATTAAAAGCCCTGTTTTATGGAGGAGGAAATTGAGGCATAGGTTAATTAACTTGCTAAAGTCACGTGGAACCAGAGCTGGAATCTAGACCTTCTTGAGATACAGCTCTTTTCTTCTTCTTCTTCTTTTTTTTTTTTTTCCGAGATGGAGTCTGGCTCTGTTGCCCAGGCTGGAGTGCAGTGGCCGGATCTCAGCTCACTGCAAGCTCCGCCTCCCGGGTTCACGCCATTCTCCTGCCTCAGCCTCCTGAGTAGCTGGGAGTACAGGCGCCCGCCACCACGCCCGGCTAATTTTTTTTGTATTCTAGTAGAGACGGGGTTTCACCCTGTTAGCCAGGATGGTCTCGATCTCCTGACCTCGTGATCCGCCCGTCTCGGCCTCCCAAAGTGCTGAGATTACAGGCTTGAGCCACCGCGCCCGGCCTCTTCTTTTTTTTTTGAGAGACGGAGTCTTACTCTTACTCTGTCGCTCAGGCTGGAGTGCAGTGGCGTGATCTCGGCTCACTGCAACCTCCGCCTCCCGGGTTCAAGCGATTCTCCTGCCTCTGCTTTCCAAGTGGCTGGGACTACAGGCATGCGCCACCACACCCAGCTAATTTTTGTATTTTTTTTTTTTTTAAGTAGAGACGGGGTTTCACCATGTGTTGGCCAGGCTGGTCTCGAACTCCTGACCTCAGGCGACCCGCCCACCTCGGCCTCCCAAAGTGCTTGGATTACAGGTGTGAGCTACTGCGTCCGGCCAGCTCTTAGTCTTAAACCTAACAGTACGTTATCTCCTTTTGCTAACTGATTTGTAGCTAAAACTTCAACAAGCACTGGACTTGGAGTTTGAACACTTAGTCTAAAGGTCTACTAAGTTCAGTCTAGTGAGTGTGCGCAATTAAGTCACATTTTGAATTTCGTCTCTCGCCTTAGGCAAAACACCACCACCTGATGCTGACCAGGCGGGCGAGACACGGCAGCTGGGCAGGGAAGCGATGCGATCGATAACTCAGGTGCGCCGCTGACTGTTGGATTGGCTCGAACTTCTCCCGCCAGGCCTAACCTACTCCCGCGCACTCCTGGGCCCGCCCCGCCGCCATCTTGGTCTAGGAGGGAGAGCGCCGCACGCGTGAGTAAACAGCCGGAGCAGGGAAAGTCGAGCTCTGGCAGCGTCCGGGTGCTGAGGGGCAGAGGCGGAGAGGACCCTGTCCTGATCTTCCTAGGTGGGATAAATATCGGGGTCACAGTGATAGGCCACGGGAAGCCCTTAGTCTGCCCACCCTCCGCCCCTTCGCGGCGAGATGCCTCGTTCCCCGGGCTTCTCCCGCCCTCTGCCGATCTCCTCCCTCTGTTGAAAGCTGCCCGGGAAAGTGGTGGCGGGAGCGGGCCCAGGCCCGAATGTGGCGTGGCCTCAGGTTCCTGGTGTCGGGCGCCGGAGGAGGTTCGCGCTGGGGTTTGGTGCTTCGGAGGCCTGGGGTGCAGACGCGGCGTGGCTGTGAGGCCGGGGCGGGCGTGCGGGTGTGAGGGCCGGACTCACACGGCCGCCGCGGGGCTGTTTCCATCGGTCACTGGATTTTCTCCTCTTCCGGTTCGGGCCTCAGGGTGGCCGACATGACGGCCAGGGGTCAGAGCCCCCTCGCGCCGCTGTTGGAGACTTTGGAAGACCCTTCTGCCTCCCATGGAGGGCAGACTGACGCTTACCTGAGTCTGACCAGGTGAGGTCCGCCACGGGGCGTTGCTGGGTGGGGGGAGCGCTCTAGACTGGGGAGAAAGAAGGTGGTTGGGAGGGGCGCGTAGAATGAATATGAGTTCTAGAAGTCTGGCAAATGTGAGGACACCCGAGTCGCGGACGCGTTGGGGGGCGGGGGAGATGTATCCTAGGTGACGTTCCCGGGTACTGCTGCTGGTGCGCTTGAGGTGTGTGTTTGGAACGAGGGAGCTTGCACGTGTTTTGCAAGCGAGGGATTTTTAAAAGTTTCGCTTGGAAGTAGTTGTTGGAGGAAGGGTTTTCAGTGTAAACCTCCGATGTGTTGGGAAAATGTGGCTACCCAGAGTTTTTTTTTTTTTAACAGCCATAAACTGATTTTTATTAATTGCAAAATGCTTCAAAGTAATTTTCATAGAAATGTACTAAACTTTTGTAAAACCTTTTGTAAAGGCTTAGTAAATCGTTAGTAACTAGGGATAGGGATCCCCGTTCTGTCTTTTTGGAGTCAGGCTATCACAACTTGCGTGTAACGGATGTAAAAAGTTATTCTGAAGGGTTTTCTACTTTCATTTCTGATATATATTGCATTATATATTCTATATGCCTTTAAGGACTTTACCTAGTGGGTTAATTCATTTACAAGAGTTAGAAAGTAATTTTTAAAAAGGTGGTGCATGTATTTTAGGGAGTTTTTTTTTTTTTCCCCGTCAACTACCTAAACTTGTGTTCTTCCTGCTTTTTAAGTCGTATGACTGGAGAAGAAGGAAAAGAAGTAATTATAGAAATCGAGAAAAAGCTTCCTCGGCTATACAAAGTTTTAAAGGTATGTATCTGTTTGTTAAATAGTTTTTCACTTTTGGTAGTTTGTTTTTTTTGTTGTTGTTGTTTTGCGGTGGAGTTTCGCTCTTGTTGCCCAGAGAGAGTGCAGTGGCTCGGCCTTGGCTCACTGAAACCTCCGCCTTTCAGGTTCAAGCGATTCTCCTGCCTCAGCCTCCTGAATAGCTGGGATTACAGGCATCCGTCACCACCCCGGCTAATTGTGTATTTTTAGTAGAGAAGAGGTTTCTCCATATTGGTCAGGCTGGTCTCGAACTCCCGACCTCAGGCGATCCTCCTTCCTCGGCCTCCCAAAGTGTTGGGATTACAGGCGTGAGCCACCTTGCTGAGCCACTTTTTTTTAAAGTTTTTTAAAAGTTTTTAAAAGTTTTGCCGGTTGACTCAAAAGCTTTGAATCTAAAATATAACAGTAGTAATACTGATTGTAATACTCTTTATTGTTACTTAAAGCTTCTCAGGTACTTTCTTAATTACCTTACATGCTTTATCACTTAACTCTCCATAGTTCCATGAGATTATTTCTTAATGATCACTTTGCAGGTGAAGAAATTAATTTAATTTGCCTAAGTTGCCTAAGGGCACTTGAATCTGAGTTTGTGCTCTTGAAAGCAGTGATCAGAGATTAACCTGTTTTCTTTCCTTTGGGAATCTACATCTAAGTAAGTGATTTTAAAATTACAGTTGTCTTTGGTCTACTCTGTAGGTAGCATTAATTTCTTTTTCCTCATTCACCCTCAGTTTTTGCTACAACTGTTATCTTTTTTGCTTTAGGGAAATGATGTTTGACATCATACATAGGGAGCTGTGTTCGTGTCTTCACTTGCCTACTCAGTGGCTTCCTGACCATCCTTAACATATTTTAAATTTTCTTGTTTTTAGAATGAAAAAGTTGAACTTTATCTCCAATGTTTCTTTGAGTTCTTATTTTTATGACCTTGTTCCTTTTTTAAAAAATATTTTTTGTGTTTTTATTATGACCTTGTTCTTGGGCTTTTATTTTTGTTTTTAATTATTAAAATTGAGGTGGGTATCTTGATAGGTTGCCTAAGCCAGTCTCGAACTCCTGGGTCCAAACGATCCTCCCATCTCAGCCTCCTTAGTAACTGAGATTACAAGTAGGTGCCACCATGCCCAACTTTTATGCTTTTATGTTTATTTCAGGCAGATCTTGCTCTGTCACCCATGCCGGAGTGCAGTTTCACAATCTCAGCTCACTGCAACCTCTGTCTCCCATGTTCAAGTGATTTTCCTGCCTCAGCCTCCTGAGTAGCTGGGATTACAGGCATGCCCTCACCACGTCCGGCTAATATTTTTAGTAGAGACGGGGTTTCATCATGTTGACCAGGTTGGTCTTGAACTCCTGACTTCAGGTGATCCGCCCGTCTTGGCCTCCCAAAGTGCTGGGATTACAGGTGTGAGCCACTGTGCCCAGCCGTGTGCCTTTAAACAAGTGTTTCATCCAGACACGTATTGTACATTTTAACGTGATTTTTGGCAAAGTATTAACAGAGATACTGCCTACTCTTGGTGTTGTCATAGTCATCAACTTCTTTTGTGTAAGCAGAAACTTTATTGTGTGCTAGTTACTTAATATCGGTGTTTATTCCATTTTCTTTATTGTCATATTCCACATTGCTGTAATTCGATGTAAAGACATGCACTTTCGTATATTGAGCATTTATAGGATCAGGAACTCTATTGCATACTTTTTTTTTGGTTTTTTTTTTTTTTTTGGCAGGGGACAGAGTTTTGCTCTTGTTGCCCAGGCTGGAGTGCAGTGGCTTGAACACCTCCTGGGTTCAAGCTGTTCTCCTGCCTCAGCCTCCCAAGTACCTGGGATTACAGGCATGCGCCACCATGCCCGGCTAATTTTTTTTCGTATTTTTAGTAGGGACGGGGTTTCTCCATGTTGGTTGGCCACTGTGCCCAGTCTTATTGCATACATTTTGAGTCAAGTTGCATTGTTTGTAAATAGGATTTGTACCTGAAATTATTTGGATACACGTGGAAGGTTGATAATAGAACAATAGCAATTTTAAGCAATGAAAGGATAATTGAATTCTTTCAGAGTAGTAACCGTACCAGGTAAAGTAGAACATGTTTCTATGTTGTGTTTAGAGTTCAGCTAGGATTGTGTCTAGGAATCCACAACATTCTTGAAAATGAGACACATTATTGTTAAGGAACACTTTCAAGTAAGTTTAATGAAAATTAATCACAGACATTTACTAGCTATTATCCAGGAGATATAGTAGTAGCTCTCAAAGTATTAAGCCTTAGTTGCTTACACCTGGTTGCTGTACTATATCCCTTACATTCTGTACTCTAGGGTTTGAATTTTTTGGCTTCGTTTTGTAAATATAGAAGACACTGCAGAGAAGTATCTGCTCATATATTTAACCATTAACATTTGCTATTCTCCTGCTCAGGAATTTGAGGATTCCTTGGATATTTGATTCAAACAGATATGGGGGATTTTGAAGATAAATCCCTTTGGAGTAGGAAATGGTACAAGGAAATGGGGTACAGGGTAAAAGTAAACATCTCCTGCTCAGGAATTTGAGGATTCCTTGGATATTTGATTCAAACAGATATGGGGGATTTTGAAGATAAATCCCTTTGGAGTAGGAAATGGTACAAGGAAATGGGGTACAGGGTAAAAGTAAACATCTCCTGCTCAGGAATTTGAGGATTCCTTGGATATTTGATTCAAACAGATATGGGGGATTTTGAAGATAAATCCCTTTGGAGTAGGAAATGGTACAAGGAAATGGGGTACAGGGTAAAAGTAAACATCTCCTGCTCAGGAATTTGAGGATTCCTTGGATATTTGATTCAAACAGATTATGGGGGATTTTGAAGATAAATCCCTTTGGAGTAGGAAATGGTACAAGGAAATGGGGTACAGGGTAAAAGTAAACATACTGAGATCCTCTTTGACAGATTTGGCCTTTTATAGCTTTTACATAAATACTATGAGTTGGACTTTCAATTCTAGATTGACAGCCAGGCAAGGTGGCTCACGCCTGTAATCCCAGCACTTTGGGAGGTCTGAGGCGGGTGGATCACCTGAGGTCAGGAGTTCGAGACCAGCCTGGCCAACATGGTGAAACCCCCATCTCTACTAAAAATACGAAAAATGAGCCAGGCATGGTGGCGCACGCCTGTCATCCCAGCTACTGTTGAACCTGGGAAGCGGAGGTTGCCGTGAGAGATTATTGCAGTGAGTTGAGATTACATCATTGCACTCCAACCTGGTCAACAAGAGCGAAACTCTTGTCTCCAAAAAAAAAACAATTTCTAGATTGACATGGATTGAAATTCTCTTATGTATAAAGTAAGGTTTAAAAAATTGTTTTGTATAACTACTGAGATAATAATAGATACTTTATAAATGTTACATTCTAACCCCTTCCTTCTCCCAGTCTTGGAGGAAGAGATGTCACTCCCCTCTAAAGTTAGGATGTTAGCTTTTGCATTTGAGTCTCTTGTTTACTCAGTGGAAGGGCCTTACTCCCTTTTCCCTGTTATGTCTTTAGCATTTTTCATCTGTTGACCTCTTTTTCTTTGCTTTCATAGGTGTAGAGATATCCTTTATCTTCATTCAGTTGATCTTGATCCAGTTTCCTCTCCTTTCTTTGCCAAACTGTACACATGGCCTTCTGATTTTATTCCTTGTTTATTTTTGTTTTTTATGCATATTCTCAAGGATTTGTTGGAGTAAAATGTGATGAATTTGTTTGTTCTGTAATTGACTTCTGCTTTCTAAAGATTGATTTACAGCTGTGCTTGTTTGTAATAAATGTGGTTTTGTTTTTGTAGACTCACATTTCCAGTCAAAACTCGGAGCTGAGTAGTGCTGCTCTACAAGCCCTGGGGTTTTGCTTATATAATCCCAAAATTACCTCAGAATTATCAGGTAGATAAATTTCTTATGACTGTCAATAGTTTTAGAGTATAAAGTATAAATTTTAAGTATAATTTGATGCTGTTAAAAGTACTATTATCTCTGAATTAGTTTCAGAACCTGTAGTTTAAGGTTTGCTTTTAGGAAAGAATGTTTAGATTGTCATCACCTACATGTAGCTCTAACTTTGATACTACAAAATTTGCTCATAAAAATAAGGGGTATTTGACAAAAACTTAGCTGGGCGTAGTGGCGGGCGCCTGTAGTCCCAGCTACTCGGGAGGCTGAGGCAGGAGAATGGCGTGAACCCGGGAGGCGGAGCACTCCAGACTGGGAGAGTGAGCGAGACTGTCTCAAAAAAAAAAAAAAGGGTATTTGCTGGGTGCAGTGTCTCATGCCTGTAATCCCAGCACTTTAGGAGGCTGAGGCGGGCGGATCACCTAAGGTCAGGAGTTGAAGACTAGCCTGGGCAACATGGAGAAACCCCATCTTTACTAAAAATACAAAAAAAATTAGCCGGGCGTTACGGCGCATGCCTGTGATCCCAGCGACTCAGGAGGCTGAGGCAGGAGAATCGCTTGAACGCGGGAGGTGGAGGTTGCAGAGAGCCGAGATGGTGCCATTGCACTCCAGCCTGGGAAGGAAGAGTGAAACTCTGTCTCAAACAAAAATAAAAAGGGTATTTAAACATGATTGCTGTAAAAATGGAAATTTTTATTCAGGCATATGCACTAAGGAATATGCTGAATTGAAAAGTTCTTTGACATAATGATAAATGTGGGATAATTTGGAACTAAAAGTGGTAATAAAAGCACAGAACCTAATGCTTTCTAAGTTTTCAAGTAGTCTGCATTGTTGTTCCATAGTTAGATGATTTCCATTGTAAAGGAAACTCTTATCTTTAGAGAAGGAAAGTTAGGAATAAAGATGTCAAAGTTGTTACCATCTGTTTTTGAGGGAAAAGCTGCTGCTTGCTCTTTTTTATACATAGAAGTGTTAACAACCTAAAGCAGGAGTTGTTCATTTTGGAGCAGAGATGCAGGATTGAAAACATCTTACCAAAAATTGTCTTGTATGTTCAAACCTACAGTGATATCTGTAGTTACTTCAGTTGCACAAGAAGGTCTGATTTGGTGTCTGTTGTTTATTTTCTCTCAGTATACCTTCCCTTCTAATCTGAATTTTGTGTTTTGGGGAGAAGTTTGGTATCAGCATTGGTTCTCTGATCTATTCTCTGGGTATACTTTTAATTTTATGATTGATGAGTATATTGTTTTCTCTAGTTTTATATTTGAGACTTTAAAGAGTATCAGCTATTCTATACAAAATTAAAACTGCTTGTTTTTCAGAGGCAAATGCTCTAGAATTGCTTTCAAAATTGAATGATACCATTAAGAGTTCAGACAAAAATGTACGTACCAGAGCACTTTGGGTGATATCTAAGCAGACATTTCCCTCTGAAGTGGTTGGCAAAATGGTGAGTATAGTTTTTGGGTATGCCGTCTTAACTATATGCCAATTAAAAAACAACTATAATGCCAATAAAAACAGTTCAGGCTTATTTCATTTGTATTTATTTGGTTTGTTTTTTAGGTATCCAGTATAATTGATTCATTAGAAATACTATTTAATAAAGGAGAGACGCATTCTGCTGTTGTTGATTTTGAAGCGTTAAATGTTATCATAAGGTATGCATTTGGATGCTGTGCAAATTGAAGAATAGTTTTCATAAGTTTAGCTGAAGGAGAGGGCTTTTGGAATTTAAATGAGAGACAGACATTAAAAGGGGGAAATGTCATTTACACCAAAAGACTCAAGGACAAGAAGTAACAGAAAGAAGATGGAAGTAGATGTGCATGGGTTACTAGGTGTTTAAAATTTTTACTGGGACCATGTTCAAGGTGAAGTCTTGGTTATGTTCCTACTAGTAACATACACAGTTCGGGTTTGAAAAATATCTCTGTTAAAGCTTGTTGTAAGGGTTTTAAAAATAATGTAAACTCATAAGTGGGCTTAGGGGTTGTTTAGAAAGGCAATCAGTGTTTAGCAGGGAATAGGAGAGTACCTTCTTCATTTTTGTTATAACAGGCACACCAACAGCATAAACTCTTTTTTTTTTTAAGTGTAAACTCTTTGATGACATGATTTCTGTCTTCCCTGTTTTTTGTTCTTTAAAGTTTTCTTGTTGAGTTACTTGCTTTAACTTGCCCACTGTTGAATGCTCTGATTGATGCTAAGATTATGTCATCGTTCTCTGGCTATCCTCTTCTGTAACAATGATGAATTTAGCATAACAATAAGTAATACAGTTGGCCCTTTGTAGGTTCTGCATCCTTGTATTTAACCAGTTGAGGGTTGAAAGTCTCAGAAAAATTGCATCTGTATTGAACATGTATGGACTTTGATTTTCTTGTCATTATTTCCTAAACAGTACAGTTTAACAACTACTTACTTAGCACTTACATTGTATTAGCTATTATCAGTAATCTAGAAATGATTTAAAGTATAGGGGAAGATGTGCATAAGTTATATGCAAATACAGTCGTGTCACATAATGATGGAAATACATTCTGAGGAATGCATCATTATATAATTTCATCATTGTGCAAACATAGAGTGGACTTACACAGACCTAGAGGGGAGAGCCTACTATATACCTAGGCTGCATGGTACAACCTGTTGCTCCCAGGCTACAGACCTGTACAGTGTATTACTGTACTGGATGTTGTAGGCACTTCTAACACAATACTGTTTGTGTACCTAAACGTAGAAAAGGTACAGTAAAAATATGATAAAAAAGATTAAAAAATGGTACACCTGTATCTGGCGCTTACCACGGATGGAGGTTTTAGGACTAAAGTTTCTTTGGGTGAGTCAGTGAAGGAGTGATGAGGGAATGTGAAGGTCTGGGATGTTACTGTGCACTACTGTAGATTATTCATAAAGACTGTACACTTATGCTACACTAAATCTATAAAAACATTTTAAAAATAAATTAGTCTCTACTTTCTGTAACTTTTTTTGAGACAATCACACTGTTGTTCAGGCTGGAGTGTAGTGGGGTGATATCGGCGCTCTGCAACCTCCACCCCCCAGGTTCAAGTAATTCTTGTGCCTCAGCTTCCTGAGTAGCTGGGATTATAGGCGCCCGCCACTACGACCGGCTTATTTTTGTATTTTTAGCAGAAATGGGATTTTGCCATGTTGGCCAGGCTGGTGTTGAACTCCTGACCTCAGGTGATCCACCCACCTCAGCCCCCCAAGTACTGGGATTGCAGGCGTGAACCACTGTGCCTGGCCAGCCTATTGTAACTTTAGACTTTAAAGTTTTAAAACTTTTTGACTTTTGTAAGAATAATTAGCTTTGGCTGGGCACAGTGACTCATGCCTGTAATCCCAGAACTTTGGGAGGCCCAGGTGGGCAGATTACCTGAGGTCAGCAGCGTGAGAGCAGCGTGGCCAACATGGTGAAACCCCATCTCTACTGAAAATACAAAATTAGCTGGGCGTGGTGATGTGTGCCTGTAATCTTCAGCTATATGGGAGACTGAGGCATAAGAATCACTTGCACCCAGGAGGCAGAGGTTGCAGTGCACTGAGATCGTGCCACTGCACTCCAGCTTGGGTGACAGAGAGACTTGGTCTCAAAAAAAAAAAAAGAAGAATACTTAGCTTAAAACACAAACATACAATTGTACAAAATTATTTTCCCTCGTTAAATCCTTATTCTAGGAGCCTTAATTTTTAATTTATTTATTTATTTTTGACTTTCATAACTTTTTGGTTAACAACATAACACATCAGCCTAGGGCCTCCTGCAGGGTCAGGATCCTTATCAGTGTCTCCCACCACCACATCTTGTCATACTAAAACTTGTTCAAGGGCAATAACATTCATGGAGCTGTCATCTGTGGTTAATGCTGCCTTCTGGAGTATCTGCCGAAGGACCCTTCAAGGCTACTTTACAGTTAACTTTTTAAAAATAGAAGTAGGAGTAAACTCTAATAATAAAAATTACAGTGTGGTATATACATAAACCGGTAACATAGTCATTTAAAAAAAAATTTTTTTTTATTACTATTTTTTGTGTGTGTGATGGAGTCTTGCTCTGTCGCCAGGCTGGAACACAGTAGTGAGGTCTTGGCTCACTGCAACCTCTGCCTCTCGGATTCAAGCTATTCTGCCTCAGCCTCCCAAGTAGCTGGGATTACAAGCAAGTGCCACCACGCCCAGCTAAGTTTTGTATTTTTAGAAGAGACGGAGTTTCACCATGTTAGGATAGTCTCCATCTCCTGACCTCATGATCCCCCCGCCTCGGTCTCCCAAAGTGCTGAGATTACAGGTGTGAGCCACCGCACCTGGCCGGTCATTTCTTATCATATAGTACAGTAATGTCCTCTATATAATTGTGCTGTACTTTTATGTGAATGAGAGTGCAGTAGATTTGTTGGTTTACACCATTGTTATCAGAAACATGAATAATGTATTGCACTGCAATGTTACAACAGCTACAGTGTCACTAGGTGATAGGAACTTGTCAGGTCCCTTAAAATCTTACTGGACCACTATTGTGAATGTGCTGCGTTTTTAACCAAAACGTTTGTTTGTGGTGCATGACTATACTGTCCTTTTTATATCAGACCTGAGCATTATTGTGAGGTACTAGAACCAGTACCCCAGGGATACTGAGGGGTGACTGTAATATTTCAATCTTAAGATTAGTTCTTTAAAAAAAATTTACAAAATTAATAATGTTCAAATTAGTAAAAATTGTATCTATTTCTTGTGTGCATATGCGTATTTGTATATATTCTAAAACAAATGGGCCGTACTGTGTATATTTCTGTGTGTCACATATTTTACTGCTTGTTAAGACTTAAAACGTGACGTCATGCTAATTATTCGTTGATTTCTTTATTATAGGCTAATTGAACAAGCCCCAACTCAAATGGGAGAAGAGGCAGTGAGGTGGGCAAAACTGGTCATACCTTTAGTGGTTCATTCAGCACAAAAGGTACATTTGCGGGGAGCAACTGCTTTGGAGATGGGAATGCCATTATTGCTTCAGAAACAGCAAGAAATAGCATCTATTACAGAGCAACTTATGACTACTGTGAGTGTTCTTTTATGTAAGAATTTTCTGGATACTGCATCAGAAGGTTTTGCACTAAGCTTAAAATTCAGTCTGGGGGCCAGGTATAGTGGCTCTCACCTGTAGTCCCAATGCGGGAGGCTGGGAGGCTGAGATGGGAGGATTGCTTGAGGCCAGGAGTTCCAGACCCATCTGGGCAACAGAGTGAGACCCATCTCTACAAAATATCTTAAAAATTAGCTGGGCGTGGTGGCATGCGCCTGTAGTCTCAGATGCTTGGGAGGCTAAGGCGGGAGGATTGCTTGACCAGAAATTTGAGGCTGCAGTGAGCTATGATCTCACCACTGCATTCTAGCCTGGCTGAGTGAGAGCCTGTCCCCACCCCCCAAAAAAAAATCTGGGCATATTGGTATAGTTGCACTATGATCTAGGATTTTAGCTTTGAATCACAACATTAAGAATTGCATAAGTTAGCATAGGCACCTTGCTTATTACATAGTAGTAAGGAGGGGAGCTATCTATTGTTACTAAAATCCAGACATTTTACTTCGTTCCCAATAAATAGGAAATAGGAATTGTATTGCTGAAAGAGGGAGAGCATTAACTGATTCACTCATGTTTGGGTTGTTACTGTATAATCCTAGGAGATACAAATTTAATGTACATAAACTTACCTAGTCTCTATAGTTTTCTAGTTATTACTTGCCACAGGTTTTAGGTTTTCTAACCATTGTTCTTGTAACATATTTACTGGGCATCTGATATATGTAGTGCTTTGTTGCAGGCGCTGTAAATATAGCAGTGAACAAAGGAGGCTTGATGGAGCTTATTTTCTTGTGGGAGAGATAATTAAGTACATAGTGTAGTAAGTGAAGAGCGCTAAGGAGAAGAGCAAGGACTGGAGAGTGCTGTGAGAAAGGAATGTAAGGTGGTCAGAGAAGGCAAAGGAAAGGACATTTGAACAGTGATTTGAAGGCAGAGGAGTTACTCATGTGGATAATGTAGGGTAACTTCATACCAGACAAGAGAACCATGAGGGCAAAGGCCTGTCTCTAATGGTTGTGTACCTGGTTGGTGTTCTGGGAACACTGGGCAGTATGACAGTAGTGGAGTGAATTAGAGAGAGGAAAAGAGGGCCCAATCACATAGGACCATGGCGGGAACCATTGTTAAGGATGGATTTTTTTACTCTAGGTTACATGGAAAGCCATATTTGAAGGCCTTGTTTTATTTTTTGTTTTAAGAGACAGGGTCTCACTATATTAACCAAGCAGATCTTGAACTCCTGGGCTCAAGCAGTCCTCCCACTTTAGTCTCCCAAAGTTTTGGGATGACAGGCGTGAGCCACCACACCCAGCCCCTAAAACCTGGGATTTTACTTGCTTAAAATGCAGAAGACTTCTTGGTAATGTTCAGTATGACAAAGTAACTCGAGTGTCTTCATAAATAGCTTTATTCTGATGAATTCATTTTTTAGTAACATATATATACATATAAATTTTTTTTTTTTTTTTTGAGACAGTTTCGTGATTGTTGCCCAGGCTGGAGTGCAGTGACGCGGTCTCAGCTCACTGTAGTCTCCACCTCTTGGGTTCAGGTGATTCTCCTGCCTCAGCAGGAGTAGCTGGGATTATAGGCACCTGCCACCATGCCCGACTGATACTTGTATTTTTAGTAGAGATGGGGTTTCACCATATTGGCCAGGCTGGTCTCGAACTTTTGACCTTGTGATCTGCCTGCCTCAGCCTCCCAAAGTGCTGAGATTACAGGCATGAGCCACCGTGCCTGACCATAAAATCCCTTTTGTAACCCATTTATCAAGCTTGCAACAAAGCATATATGAAATTCTTTATATAAATTTGAGCTAAAAATTATTTCACGTGTCTGTTGATTATGAAGCTATTAATGTATTTTTTCATTATTAGTGTGAAAATATTAATACAGTGCCATTTAAACTAATTAATGATATGCATGCTGACATTTTTAGGGTAAAGTATATTGTTAGGAAAAAAGTTGGATTGATGGATGGTAGGATGGCCAGATAGGTGATAAGACCAACATAGTAAAGTGTTAATGATAGAATCTGGGTGTTTGTATTAGAGCATTTACTGTAAAAACTCCTTCACATTCGCTCTATGCTTCAGCTTTTCTTGTGGAGTTTTTTGGGAGGGGTAATTTTTTTTTTTTTTTGAGACAGTCTCGCTCTGTCACCCAGGCTGGAGTGCAGTGGCATGTTCTCTGCTTTCTGCACCCTCCGCCTCCTGGGTTCAAGCAATTCTCATGCCTTAGCCTCCCGAGTAGTAGGAATTACAGGCGCCTGCCACCACACCCAGCTAATTTTTGTATTTTTAGTAGAGATGGGGTTTCACTGTATTGGCCAGGCTGGTCTTGAACTCCTGACTTCAGGTGATCTGCCTGCCTTGGCCTCCCAAAGTGCTGGGATTACAGGCTTGACCCACCGCACCTGGCCTTGGGTGGGGTAATATTTTTATCATGGAGAAAACTGGTTGAATCAGTTTTTAAAAATTATTCCTAGACTTTGATATTGGATTTTTTTTTTCAAAGAGTCTGTTTGGTAAATTAATTGCTTTTGTTTGCAGAAATTAATCTCAGAACTCCAGAAGCTATTTATGAGTAAAAATGAGACTTACGTGTTAAAATTATGGCCTTTGTTTGTCAAACTACTTGGAAGGGTAAGTGCCCAGTTAATGAACAGTCCACAATTTTTACATGCTGGACTCTTTCTGTTCTTACCTTTTCTTTGTACACTTGATGCTCATTATTTCCTTTGTACAGCTGATGCTCATTATTTCATGCTTACTAAAATTCATTTGTAAATCTGAAATCAGTACTTGCATTGCTTTTGCCATCATTTGTAGACACCCAGGGTGGCAAAGAATTGGAGTCACAATGTGCGTGTTTCCAGCTGAGGTCAAGCAAAGTTATGCTCTGCCTTTTTGTTTTAGTTCTCATAGCTTAAACAATTGTCCTTTTTATAATCCCTGTAATGCCACATTTTTCACTTTTCTGTGCTTTTCCTGGTGGTTTACTGGTTAAATTTGGGACCCAAAGCCTGGGTCCAGATGCTGTCTAGTTTGTGTTCCTAAGCAAAGGAAGGCTGTGATATACCCAATGAGGAAAATAAACTTTGTTCAGGCACGATTTATAGAGCTACTGGCTGTGAATTTGATGTTAGTGATTCAGTAATGTAAAATATCTTCTAATAGATAGATGTTAAACAGGTTGTATATTGAACAGCTGACAAAAGTGTGTCCATAGACTCAAAGAAACCTAACTGTGTATTTCCCATGGGAGTGATTGCTCAGTATTTGCTAATTTAGTTTCCAGGCTATTTTATATAATAGAAAACCATAACTACTATGAATAATGAGCGAGAATCAACTGTATGTTCAATGATTAAGCAGATTTTAGGTGGTAGGGAGTGTGCTGCTTTTATTGTGTTCTAACCATTTGTAAATGAAGAATTCAATGGCATTAAATCTACTCATAATGTTGTAAGCATCACCACTATCTATACCCAAAACTTGTGCATCATCCCCAACAAAAACTGCACCCATTAAGCAGTAAACTCCCTCTGCCCTCCTCCCCCACCCAGACATCACCCTTTTGTTCTACTTTCAGTCTCTACGAATTTGCTTATTCTAGGTACCTCATAAAAGTGAAATTATAACATATTTGCTCCTCTGTGTCTGGCTTATTTCACTAAGCATAAAGTTTTTTTATTTTTTTTTGAGACAGAGTTTCACTCTTGTTGCCCAGGCTGGAGTGCAATGGTATGATCTCAGCTCACTGCAACCTCTGCCTCGTGGGTTCAAGCAATTCTCCTGCCTCAGCCTCCTGAGTAGCTGGGACTACAGGCATGTGCCTCTATGCCCGGCAAATTTTTGTGTTTTTAGTAGAGACAGGAAGGATTTCACCATTTTGGCCAGGATGATCTTGATCTCCTGACCTCGTGATCTGCCCACCTCGGCCTCCCAAAGTGCTGGGATTACAGGCATGTGCCACCGTGCCTGGCAGCATAAACTTTTTAAGATTTATCCATGTCATAACATATATTAAAGTTGCATTCTTATGGCTGAGTGATTGTATATAACACATTTTGTGTATCTGTTGAGAGACATTTAGGTTGTTTCTACCTTTTGGCTATTGTGAATAATGTTGCTGTAAACACCAGTGTACAAATCTGTCAGAGTTACCGCTTTCAGTTTTTTGGGTATATATTTAAGAGTGGAATTGCTGGGTTATGTAGTAATTCTATGTTGAACTTTTTGAGAAAGCCTCAAACTCTTTCTTTTTTTGAGACAAGGTCTGGCTCTGTCTGTCACCCAGGCTGGAGTGCAGTGGCACAACCTCACTCACTTCAACCTGTCTCCCAGGCTCAAACCATCCTCCCACCTCAGCCTCCCGATTACTTGGGACTACCACCCTGCCCAGCTGAATTTTTTTTTTTTTCCATATTTTTTGTAGAGATGGGATTTTGCCATGCTGCTCAGGCTGGTTTCCAATTCAAGTGATCTGCTCGCCTCAGCCTCCAAAATTGCTGAATTACAGGCATGAGCCACTTGGACCAGCCAGCACCAAACTCTTCTGTAGCAGCTGCACCATTTTACATTCCCACCCGTAATGCACTAGGGTTCCACTTTCTTAACATCCTCACCAACACTTTTTATTTTCCTTTTTGTTTTTGATAGCCATTCTAGTGAATGTGAAGTGGGATTGATTTGGTATAGATTTGCATTTCTCTGATTACTAGTGATGTTGAACATCTTTTCACTTGGTTCTTGGCTGTTTTAATTGTCTGGAGAAATGTCTAAGTCCTTGGTCCATTTTTGAGTAGGTTTGAATTTTTGTTGAGTTGTAGTTCTTTATATGTTTTTGATATTCTTCTCGTATCAGTTATGTGATTTGCAAATATTTGTTTCCATTCTATAGGTTCTCTTTTGCTTTCTTGGTAATATCCATTGCACAGTTTTTAATTTTGGTATATCATGTATATTTTTTGTTATTGCTCGTACTTGACATCATATTCATGAAGTTGTTGCCAAATCCAATGTCATTTTTGTTTCCCAATGCGTTCTTGTAAGAATTTTCCAGTTTTAGATCTTGAATATAGATCTTTGAACCATTTTGAGTGAATATTTGGATATGGTGTAAGGTGAGAGTCCAGGTTCATCCTTTTGCGTGTAGATGTTCAGATTCCTCAGTACCATTTATTGAAAAGGTTGTTTTTATTAAATCCTTTTGGTACCCCTTTTTTTTCTGTTTTTTGAGACAGTCTTACTCTGTTGCCAAGGCTGCAGTGCAGTGGCATGATCTCGGCTCAGTGCAACCTCTGCCTCCTGGGTTCAAGCAATTCTCCTGCCTCAGTCTCCCAGGTAGCTGGGATTACAGGTGCCCACCACCTTGCTCGGCTAATTTTTTTTCTTTTTTGTATTTTTATTAGAGATGGGGTTTTACCACATTGGCCAGGCTGGTCTCGAACTTCTGAGCTCAAGAGATCCACCCGCCTCGACCTCCCAAAGTGCTGGGATTACAGGCATGAGCCACCGCACCTGGCCTTTGGTGGCCTTTTGAAAATCAGTTGAACACAGGTGCAAAGATTTATATCCAAGCTCAGTATTCTGTGCTGTTAGTGTGTGTGGCTGTCCTTATGCAGTTACCGTATGTATTAATTACTGTAGCTTTATACTACGTTTGGAAGTCAGTCAGTGTGAGTTGTCTGGTTTTCTTATTTTTCAGGATTGTTTTGGCTTTTAATTTTAAAAAAAAATTTTTTTTTTTTTTTGAGCTGGAGACTCTCCCTGTCGCCCAGACTGGAGTGCAGTGGCGTGATCTCAGCTCACTGCAACCTCCGCCTCCTGGGTTCAAGTGATTTTCCTGCCTCAGCCTCCTGAGTAGCTGGGACTGCAGTTGCACACCACCACGCCTGGCTGAAGTTTTGTATTTTTAGTAGAGATGGTGTTTCACCATATCGGCCAGGCTGGTCTCGAACTCCTGACCTTGTAATCTGCCCGCCTTGGCCTCCCGAAGTGTTGGGATTACTCGTGTGAGCCACCACGCTGGCTGTTTTGGCTTTTTGAGGCTCTTTGCAATTCCGTGTTAATTTGACGATAGACTTCTTTATCTGTGAAAAAGACAGTTGAAATCATGGTAGGGATTGTGATGAATCTGCGTATAATGCCTTGAGTAGTTAGCATTTCATTGATGTTAAGTCTTTCTACCAATGAGCAGATGTCTTTCCATTTGTTTAGGCTTTTTTTTTTTTTTTTTTTTTTTTTTTTTTTTTTTAAGACAGAGTCTTTCTGGCTATAGTGCTGTGGCGCAGTCTTGGCTCACTGTAACCTCAGCCTCCTGGGTTCAAGTGATTCTCCTGCCTTGGCCTCCCGAGTAGCTGGGATTATAGGCGCCTGCCACCATGCCTGACTCGTTTTTGTATTTTTAGTAGAGACGGAATTTTACCACGTTGGCCAGGCTGGTCTCAAACTCATGACCTAAAGCAGTCCACCCGCCTTGGCCTCCCAGAGTGCTGGGATTACAGGAGTCATCCACTGTGCCAGGCCTAGGTCTTTAGTTTCTTTCAGCAGTGCTTTGTAGTTTTCATCTTGTGTCTAACTTCTTGGGCTAGATCTGTTACGAAGTATTTCCTTTAGCTCTTGTAGCTAACTTGTATGTTTTTTGTTTTCTAATCCATTTTTTATTTTATTTTATTTTATTTTTTTATTTTATTTTATTTTTTTTGAGACAGAGTCTCGCTCTGTCGCCCCGGCTGGAGTGCAGTGGCGTGATCTCGGCTCACTGCAAGCTCCGCCTCCTGGGTTCACGCCATTTGCCTGCCTCAGCCTCCCGAGTTGCTGGGACTACAGGCACCTGCCACGCCCAGCTAATTTTTTGTATTTTTAGTAGAGACGGGGTTTCACCGTGTTAGCCAGGATGGTCTCGATCTCCTGACCTCATGATCTGCCCGTCTCGGCCTCCCAAAGTGCTGGGATTACAGGTGTGAGCCACCGCGCCCTGCCTTCCATTTTTTTTTTTGTTACTGGTTTATAGTGTGTTAAAATTATATGTGGTTTATAGCCTGTTAGGAGCATTAGTGTTTATGTAATTTTTTATTTGTGATGCATTACTTGTCATTTTTCCATTTTGTACTTTATTTTCCTTTTTTTCTTCTTTTTGAGACAGTTTCACGCTTGTTGCCCAGGCTGGAGTGCAAGCACGATCTCGGCTCACTGCAACCTCGGCCTCCTGGGTTCAAGTGATTCTCCTGTCTTGGCCTGCCGAGTAGCTGGGATTATAGGCGTGTGCCACCATGCCTGGCTGGTTTTTGTGTTTTTAGTAGAGACGGGATTTTTCCATGTTGGTCAGCCTGGTTTCTAACTCCCGACCTTAGGTGATCCACCTGCCTTGACCTCCCAAAGTGCTAGGATTACAGGTGTGAGCCACCGTGCCTGGCCTATTTTTTTTTTCCTCCTGAGCTCATATTTTTCTTTTGGTTTAATAGTTTTCTCATTTAAATCTTACATAATATTTGGAAGTAATTCAGAAGCTATCCGGTTTTCTGCTGGCTGTGGTGGCTCACGTCTGTAATCCCAGCACTTTGGGAGGCTGAGGCGGGTGGGTCATTTGAGGTCAGGAGTTAGATACCAGCCTGGCCAGCATGGCAAAACCTTATCTCTACTAAAAATATAAAAATTAGACTGGTCCTGGTGGCTCACTCCTGTAATCCCAACACTTTGGGAAGCTGAGGTGGACGGATCACCCTGAGTTCCAGAGATCGAGACCAGCCTGGCCAGCATGGTGAAACCCTGCCTCAACTAAAAATACAATAATTAGCTAGGCATGGTGGCATGCACCTGTAATCCCAGCTACTTGGGAGGCTGAGGCAGGAGAATCGCTTAAACCTAGGAGGCAGAGGTTGCAGTGAGCTGAGATCCAGCCATTGCATTCCAGCCTGGGTGACAGAGCCAGACTCCCATTGCAAACAAAACAAAACAAAACAAAAATTGGCTGGGCGTGGTAGTATTAGCCAGTAATCCCAGCTACTTGGGAGGCTGAGGCAGGAGAATCACTTGAACCCAGGAGACGGCAGTGAGCTGAAATAGCACCACTGCACTGTAGCCTGGGTGACAGAGTGAGACTCCCTCTCAGAAAAAAGAAACCTTACTCAGTTTTCTTGATTTTTATCTCACTTTTACTATTTTTTATTAGCAGATACTACTGTTTTTAAAAAATGTTTCTTTTACAGCCATGAAATTAGATGTTTCCTTAATTTTCCTTTCAGTTTGTTCGAAAGGTTATTTTTATTATTTTCAGGGTTCAACACCTTTTTTCTCTAATTCTTTAATATAAACGTATATTTTGTTTGGTATTGCTTTGATAAAGTTTGGGATTTATCTACTCTCCTAATTTTCTCTAATGTTTTAGAAGTGTTCTGTGTTACGCATTATCTGCTTCTTCAAACTTTATATATTTTTTGGTCTTGAGTTTGGAATGTGTGTTTAAAGTTTATTTTCTTAAATTCCTAAGACTTTTAACATATCTAACATTTAACACATCTCTTTATGTTTGTGAATAATTTATCTTTTGTCTCCCCATTAGATTATGAAGTCCTAAGAGCATCTATTAAGTGAATGAATAAAGGAATGATAGCAATTATTCTGTTTCATGCAGATAAATAAGTTCTTAACGATTTTTCCCTTTTTTAGACCTTGCATCGAAGTGGGAGTTTCATCAATTCTCTGTTGCAACTAGAAGAACTTGGATTTCGTAGTGGAGCACCCATGATTAAAAAAATAGCTTTTATTGCTTGGAAGAGTTTAATAGATAATTTTGCTTTGAATCCAGGTAATATTTTAACAATTTTGATTTTCTATGAATTCATTTTGCTTAAAGCAAGACAAATGAAATTTTTCTGTTTTTTTGGATTTTAAGTTGAAATTAAGCTACTACTGAATTATTTTCATTTTAAGGGAACAGTAATAAATTTGTACTGAAAATAGAATTCACATACTAGGCATTGAAAATCACAAATATAAAATCTGTTTTACAGTATTTCAAAAACTGAACAAAGTGGAAAATAACTGTTTGTGGCTTCCTTTATTTATTTTATTTTTTATATTTTATTTTATGTTATGTTATCCTATCCTATCTTAACTTAACTTATCTTATCTTATCTTATCGAGACAGAGTGTCACTCTTGCCCAGGCTGGAGTGCAGTGGTGGGATCTTGGCTCCCTGCAACCCACGCCTCCCAAGTTCAAGCGATTCTCCTGCCTCAGCCTCC